GGGTGAAAAAATTACAAGTATGCTTGGTTGTTGTTAGGAGAAAAATTTTATAAGATTTTTGTTTGTCTCATCTCATCTATGACATGCAAGACTTGATGCCAAGTGACATCACAGATTACAGAGTTGACTTTTACAACCCTGCTGAGGCTCAGTAAGATAATAAATTTATTACCCATTTTCTATGAGCCAGGTTCCTCTTAGGAAGCTTGGGTGCTGTGAAATCCCTTTTTCAATTTAGCATTAAGACACTGAAAAATATCATGTTTGTTTACATATAAACTTAGGAAAATTATTAAATGTTTACGGACTATATTCTGTACACACACACACACACACACACACACGTGCACACGTGTACAACAGGACTATCTGCCACTTCAGTTCAGCATTCCATGACTTCCCCATCGCTGAAGGGTTTTACTGCCTAGAACGCCAAACACTGATTTGTATCTGATGGTGGTAACACAGCTTTGAGCAGATTTGTTGCTGATCAGCACAATCGTGCTTCTTGTTTCTTTTTACTAAAGAGATCACACACAACAACAAGCCCAAACCATACACTATTTCACCTCTGCACACAGTAGAAATACAACTTTCCAACCTTTGCAGTGCATCTCCCACCACTTACCTGCTGGCCCTAACCCAAATGTCTCCTGACTTGCCAAAACAGAGACACAACCATACTGGTCTCCATCAACTCCTTCCAGTCTTTGAGAGAAAACTTAATAAGAGCAACACAGCCATCGCCTTTGCAAACGGGATCAAACCTTCAGTCTTGTATAGCACGTAAAGGTATTGTTTGGAAAGGGCTGTTTCTCTCCTCCCCATGGCAAACTCTTTTAAATATAAGCTTTTACATTCCTGAGGTCCACTTATGTCTTTACCATTTTGTGTTTTATCTACTGGCTCATTCTAAAGCCTAAAGACATTAACAATGCTAAAAAGGCTAATAAATGGGCCCAAATTAGGAGTAAAAGCTTTAGTTTCTAACGCCACAAGCAGGGTATAGATGGAGGGTGTTCCCAGCCTACCCCCACACACACACACTATACACAATGACTGAACAGCACGCTATACAGTTTAAGAATTGGGAAGAGGCCCTTTAAAAAAAAAAAATCTACATCCAGCCAGATAAATTCCACGTGGGGCGTTTACAGTGGCATGTGCTCACCGAACAGTACAAATTACACCCACCTGTGTATGATGTTGTAAGCATTTATTTTCATTATTTCAAGGTAACTACTCCATTGTTTTAGGGAAACGCTATGCAATATGGTAATGATGGAGTGAAAAAAAAAAAATAACAGCGTCTAAAAGATGGCACTCCACCATAACTGGCAGTGTGTTAGAAAGGCTTAAATGTTTTGGCTTCAGAAAGAACATAGTGTGCCCTTGAAATTTCAAGACAAAAGTCCTGACATCCATGCCCATATTAAAATGTCCCTAAGTTTACACAGGTGCCACGGCATTTTCAGAATCACACCTTTACCTCACCTCAATATGTATTTCATACACAAGTACTGTTCTTATCCACTTCCCTTCATCTGATGGCCTCTGAATTTGCTTCCAGGGCAGACCCAACAGAACACCCACACTGGGCAGTTTGTACAATAAATAGAAAATGTAAGTCTGTGGTTCTGGAGACTGAAGCCCAAGCTGTTTCCTGTCGCACACCCCTCACCTGAAGTCCAGTGCTCTGTGGGCAGTGGTGTCCCTTAACTCCCGGGAACACCAAGCCAATCTCTGCCTTACTTCCACATGGGAGTCTCCCTGTGTACATGTCCACACTGTCTCTCTTATACTTGGCACATGCAATGAGAAAACAGTCTAGTGACTTCACACTGATTACACGTGCAATAACCCATTCCACAATAATGTGACATTCTGAGGGTTTGAAGCTTAGGTCTTCAGCATACAATGCAGGGGGTTGGGGGGGGGGGAGTTCAAGTTTGAGCAGGGGTATGGCTCAATGGTAGAGTACTCGCCTTCCTAAATTTAATCCCAGTACTGTGAACACATACACCCTCACACTCACTCTAATATCTCCCAAGGACCCCCATGTCAGGGTCAAAACAGACATTTGTACACAGGGGCTCAGCCAAGTACTTTACTGAATGAGTGTGTGAACAAATGAATAAGACTACAAGTGGGGGAAAAAATACAAACTGGAAGCCAAGAGGTTAAATCATCAGGTAGGTTGGTGGAATTAGCAGGAATTAAGATTGTGCCCTAGCAAAATTGTATGTTCCACGTTCTTTGTCCCTTTGCGAAATCATCCAAATCACAAGCAACAAAACCTGGGAAAGAGCTAATAGATGCCTGTGTATACATGTATGCTTAAATAAACTCTCTTACCAACAGTAATGAGTCAAGGTAGCTCGTGACTTCAGTTTAAACAACTCAAGGAACAGTAGTGAGAAAGGAAGGCTCCAAGTACAGGACTACCAGCTTGGTCCATTACAGCAGTCTCTCAGGTAACCAGCACTCCAGCTCTACCCTGGGTGTATTTCCTTGTATAATCTTTTTTTTTATTTTAATAACCAATCCTTTTTGATAAACTGCAAGATGAACTGGACTCCACAGCAACCTCAGAATAACAAGCTCCTGTTTGTGTTAACATGGTAACACAGTATCGGAATAGATAACCGCCACACAAGGAAAGCATTCTGTTCTATTTCTCCTAATCTCCTCATTCAAATCCTATCACCATGAATTTCCTGGATACTTGGCTTTGAAATACTGTAGGCCTATAAACTTTAAATCCAAGCCCGGGATAGGTCTACATTCATTATGACAGCAGCATCTTGAAATGGTGAATTATTATGTTCAATTTCCCTGTCATTTATTGCAGCTGCCAGAATGAAATGGTGTACCTTAAAAGGCAACACTAAATGGAAGAGCGAATAATAAAGTCTCTTCGATGTTTCATTTATAAAAGCTGGATTCTTCCACTATCACATTTTGAACACTGTCTGAAATACATATCACTTTGTGAAACTGACATTTCACATGTGGTGGTCCTGCTGAGCTCATGTGCTAACGTCAGGGCTTACTGGGAGGGAGTAAAAGCAGCAGCATCTTTCCACCTTTCTAAGAACCAGATCCAGGGTCTGGAGAGATGGCTCAGGGGCCAAGGTCATGCTCTGGTCTTGGAGAGTTCAGTCGCCAGCACCACGTGGCAGCCCATTACTCTTTCTCCAGTCCCTGGGGATCCAACACCCTCTACTGCCCTATGTGGGCACTGTACACCTGCGATGGGTATACATACATACAGGCAAAACACTCACACACTTAATAAAATCATAAAGAACCAGAACTGAGCTGGGTGTGGTGGCATCAACCTGTCCTCAGCATGTGAGAGGTAGAGGTGGGTGGAGTTTGTAAGTCTGGTCTTTATAGCAAGTCACAGGAAAGCCAGGGCTACATAATGAGACCCTGTCTCAAAAAGGCGGGGGGGGGGGGGGGGGGGGGGACCAGAATTGGCTGGGTTTTGGCCTTGGTAGGGAGGTAGGTGGGGTTAAAAAGAGAGTTGCTTGATTATAGCTGCCCTTTTGTGGATAACTTCACTAATTTTCAGCTGTATTTTAAACTGTGCTTTAACTGGGGATGGGTGCTTGCCTAGCATGCTTAAGAGCCTGGTTCAATCTCCAACACCAAAAATAATGAAATAAAAAATACACTCTAATGTAAGCATTCTAAAAAAGGAAAATTGAATCAAAGAACAGAGGCTCCAAGGAGCCGTCTGTGACAATTAGCTCACTTTGACAACAAGACAAATCTCCAAACAACAACAAAAATTTCAAGTGAATTTTTTTAAAAATCCTTCTTTTAAAAAAAGTGTCAAGTTCTATTTTAACTCTATAAAGACACAACTGCCAATGACATCTATAAGGTATTCATTAGCTAATCAGCATGTGGCTTGTAGTTCCACAGGTCCTAAACTAAAGCATAAGGTAAAAGGAACGTTCACATCAGTGAAGTACATTCACACAAGCCAGGACGCTGTGAGGTCACAGGAGTGTGTGAGGTCACAGGGGTGTGTGTCACTCACACATCTGACCAAGTTTATTCCCTAGGCTGTGAGGGTCAGTACTTGTATTTCTTCCTGTTGTGTATGAAGCTGAGTTTCAAAAACGTTCAGAATAACTACCCAAATCTTTCTCAGCGATACTTTGAAAAGTCACAGGTTCTGGGAATTTATTGTATGAAACTGTAATTTAACAGAATCATAAACTGATTAATTCCCCAATTATCTTTAATTTCAATGACCTACTTAAGAAAAAAAAAGTGTCTATCTTAAGTACACTGTCCATTTCTGAAGCATTTGTGTTTGTAAAGAATTTTAAAAGTTCTAGTTAGAAATAATTAATACCAGTTCATTTTAGTAACTGAGTAGATTTTAATACTTCAGTATCTTAAAAACCCACTTAGTCAATATGACCTAATTCCAGAAATGTAAACCATGACTCAATCTCCAAATTTTAATTTAACACATTCTACCTCCCACTCTGTAAACTAGGAACAAGAATAAAAATTTATTTAAAATATTAAAAGGTAAGATTTCATTTGGATTAGTATATGTACATATCTATCTAACCTTAAGACTTCCCATAGCTGCAAACTCTCTGATGTGTGGATTCCCAAGATCACAAGCCACACAATGAACACCTGCCCTTGGAGCAAAGCACTGCTTGGAATAAACTGCTACAGATACCCACTTAATACTTTCAAGGAGCCCACCACTAGCTCTGGATCAGGCGAGTTAGCATCATTTCCCATAATATCCAGGGCTCTGAAAGATTATTGTCCCAACACTTCTTAAAAACAGCACGAGGGCTGCAGACGTCACCTCTAGGACTGAGCATGGTACTTGGCAGTGTGGACATCAATGTGTGAATGTACCAAACAAATACCCAATAAACTGCTATGATCCGGCTCTTTGGTATGTTATAATAATTACTTCGAATTCTTATTTCTACAAATAAACACTGAAAGAAAAATTTACAGATCTCCAGTTTAATAGGATGTAGAGCTGGACTTTCAGAAACAAACATGTGGCTAATAATTTTCTGCAATCATGTGACAATTTTCATTAAAATTTTTTATGAAATTAAAAAAAAGAAATACAAGATACAAGTTTCTTTGCAATGAACAGCATTAAGAATCCATTCTACAATTATCTTAATAAAGCACTATTTCTCTAATGAAGTTACTTTAAAACTAGCTAGAAATTCAGGAGAATTAAAATGGCAAAGAGTGAAATAACTACAAATGTTCATAAATGTTTTTGCACTTCAAAAAATATCTGGTACCAGAGCTAAGAGATTTTTCTGCATCTATAATTTTAACACGCCTTACAAAGCCCATTATAACTTAAGACCTTTTCAAAATCTGCTACCATGAATCAAAAAAAAATTCATATATTCAAAGTTAGTTGTGAGACATTAACCACAGACAATTTCAACAACTCTTATTCTGGAAAATTAAAGAACTTAGCTATAGTTGGGATTCCTACACATGATGATGGGGGCTGAGAGCAGCAAGGCTATATGGGCTCAGTCACCAAAAGGGCTTAATAATATTCCATAAACAAGTATTCTGGAAAAATATGTCAGAATATAAATACAATGTGATTCCTCCTGTGCCCAAGGGACAGTATTTAATAAAGAAAGTTGGTCATAAGTGCACATGGCCTAGGGTAAGGATCCTGCCTTCCTCATCTAGAGAATATGTTTACTTTCTCTGTGGATAGCAAGAAACGAGTGAGTTACACAGCTACAACCTTGATTAGGGGGGAATCAAGCCAAAGCCAGCCAGGACATACAGCCCTATTGCCTATCAGTGGTGATGAGAATATTTTATTTTAAATGGAACATGATGAATTAAAGTACAGCCTTAAGGTTATCAATTTTGCACTTTGAATATCAAGGAAGCAATTACTCCAAAAATCACAGAAACATGTTGAACTAACTAAACAGAAAAACAAAATGGGTATTTAAGTTATCGCATTTATCGTCATTAGTAAAAACAGATGTCCTTATAACTCCAGTCTACAGACAGCACACTTCATAATATCATTACTCATTTAAAGCACTACAAATGTTTACAAAGAACATTTGGATTTCACAATTGCTTATAGAATACCTTACAATATTAAAAACATCATGATGCTTTATAGGAAAAATCAATAAAGACAACGTAATCTTTCTCAGCAAAAAAAAAAAAAAATTCAGTATCACAAGTTTAATGTGTAAATTTATACATGAATTCAAAAAGGAATCCATTTAAACCTTGCATTGCCACATAACTACCTACTTTGTAAATTGATAAAAACGATGTACTTTTTTAAAACATGTACATCAGAACCAGAAGGTTAGTGTTTACTTTTTCCTTTATTAGCAATGTTTGGTGTGTTTTTCTGTTTGGGTTCCCAGAGCGCGTTTTTGACAAATCTCGAGGCAGCGCCTCTGTCCAGCTTGGCAGCCTTTTTCTTGTCTGTAATTTCTTTGACTCTGTTCATGTAAACTCTGATTCTTTCCTTAGAGATAAAAAGAAAGAAAAATAAAAGGCAATCACTTCCTGAGCTGTTTGCTATTGCTGGGTTTTATCAAGCTCTTTCTCAGTGAAATGAACAGTGAGTATTTGTTGTCCACTAAGTTCACTGTACTAGTGAGAGCACATGAACAGGACAAACACGCCCCATGCGCTCTTGGAGCTCACAGTCTAGGGGAAAGACGTACTTTAAACTCCCTTCAGTGGACAGGGGGGATGCATCCAGCACTTGGAGGGCAGAGGCAGGAGGATTAAGACATCAAGATTAGCAAATCTGAGACCAGCTTGGGCTCCACAAGACCCTGTCTGAAAACAGCAACAAAGATCTAAACATTTTAAAAGTGTTCTAAACTCTTCCAGAGAAAGGCTCACACTCGGGTATCACTATAGCAATAAACAATAAATTAAATTCTCCCATTATTTTTCTAAACAGAAAAGAGGTAAGGCAGTATTTATATCTATTTTATGCTACTGTCTAGTGAGTGTCACAATTAAAATAGAATGAAATAGGAGATCTTTTATTCAATTCCATAATTTTGACTGGTAAGTAATGTGAAGTTTTCTAATAAAATATACAGACTTTAAAAGTAAGAAACATAGTAGGTTTCTGGACCACTTTAAATCTCCTGAGAATATTGCTTGGAATAAATAAATCTTATACTTCAAATGGTAAAATAAAGTTGATGAAAACCATAAAATATAATAAATGGCTAATCACCATTCAAAAACAAGTTTCAATGAAATAAAATAGGTACATGAACATACACAGTAAAATACAGAACCTTACAAGTATTTCATTATCAAAACTGGGAAATTGCTCAAAGTCCTCTACTGGTTCCTTATTCAATCGTGTAAAAGCTACAACCCTTACAAAAACTGCACCCAGGTCTGCTCTGGGACCCTCCCCCTACCTATTGTCCTGCCTACAAACATTCATCCACTTACTCCCTACCTTCTAGTCTGTTCAACTTTGTGCTGTGTTTATTTTACGATGGTTACTATGTGTTTCCCTTCATTGTGTGTGTGGCATGTGTCACATTCCTCTGTGGCATCATCTCACTTGAAAATGATGCCTAGCTTAGTAGGCCCTCGAATATCGCTGGATGAATAAGGTGACTATTCTCCCACTTGTGATGTGGATGATGAATAGCACACAGATTTCCTCTAATTCTGTGATCAATTATAATGTCTGTTGCAAGGTCACAAAAGGGTAATAGACTTAAGAATGTTTTTTATTTGCCAATCCTTATCCAGAAAATTAATGTACTCTCCATAAAGTAGATTCTGAAGGAGAACGAAGACAAATGGTCTATCCTTTTACAAACTCAATATTGAGTACTGTAAATAACTGTGTTGAAAAATAATTTCATAAAAGGAGACTATTAGGAAGCTAGAAAGACAACCTGTATTTCTTAAAGTCAGTATCACAGGGCAAATAAAATCTATAGATATTCCTTTATGCCTTTTTCTTAAAATTATTTCACAACTGCTACATTTAAGTATAAATTTACTTTTTCCTCAGGAACCATAAAAGGAGAAAATATCCTGGTCTATACATTTTTTTTTAATGAAGATAAGAGGCCTGAATTACTCATTTTATTTTTAAGTAAATTGCCTATGTGCTTTACCAAGATGTAAATAACACACTCATTGGCTACTATAAGACTTAAAAAGACAAGGATACAATGTCAAGTGTGTTTTGCATATACATACACATATTTTATGTGCATAAAGAACAAATTCATTAAAATTCTTATTCATAAAGCCAAGTCAGTAAGGTAAGTCTGATTTCTATTTTTCTCCTTCGAATTGGATGATTTGATTTAATATTTGAAGTCAGCAAAAACTCCAAGATATTAGATCTTATTTAGTGTACTTATACATCTAAATGGAATACAGAGACAAACCCAGAAGATTTACTACAGGTTGTAAATATGTCACTGATGCGGAATTACTGGACAGTATACATATAGCTGGTGCCAAAAAAGCTTTTAGCTTTGTTGCTGAACTGAATTCTTTACTGCTGAGAAAATGAGTTAATGGAGGAATTGAAAAGGTAGGAGAGAATTTCCCCATCTTTGCTAGTAAATCAACTGGAATACACTTTTAAGAATTGTCTAAGAGTTTTTTTTTTTTTTTTTTTTTTCCTTAAGTAGCCCTGGAGATGAATAAAATTTTAAGAATTTATAGGAAAAATAATATGAAAGTTATAAATAATTACTAGAATTATGCCACTCTGCTCTAATTCTGATCTCCCTAACCAGTGTGATAATGGCCATATGACTGAGACTGTAGAGTTACAGCAGACCTATAAACAGGCATAAATCACAGATGTCTTACCAATTCTTGTTTCACTGGATGCTCCTTAGGGTTAACTCCTTGAGTTGCCAAATAAACTGTGGGAGAAAGAGCTGCATTAAATAAAATGGTATATATAATAGTAAGTGTTACAATAAAAGAAACCCCAGTTATTCCAAGAAGGAAAGTTGCACAGCTAATTCAATTTCAAATTATATAACTTCTATAAAATATTAAGTTTGTGTGTAGCTCACAGGCATCCTACAGTCTCACATTTTAAAAAAAATTGACTAATAAAATTACTATAAAGGATAATTCTATGTTAATTGCTATCTCTTAAAAAACAAATCACCTTTGACACAATAATATACTTTCTAATGAACTACAAACTAACATACTTACCCCAAAACATTGAATTTAATGTGTATGCAGAAACTAAATCCACCTTTGCTTGCTCCAGTGGGTCCAACTAGTAAAACAGAAAGAGACAAGAAGATGGAACACACGCACTTTGAACACCAACAGACAACATTTCTAACTTTCCCAACCACAAAGTATCAAAGGCATGTGTTTCTCACTTCCTATACCAATAATAAAAGAATCTAGAAATAATTTATACCAAAGTGTTTTCCAAACCAGTGATTCTTTTTTGGTTATTTCTGAGATTGTATTTTAATTACGGAACTTCTCCCTTTCCCTTCTTCCCTCAAACTCTGCTGATAACCCACCCTGTCTCCTACACATTCATGGACGAACCTTTTCATTAGTCGCATACTTGCATGTATTTGTATGTACATACAGATACCCAAGTATAACCACTGGGGGTTTTTTGTTTTTCTGTTTTGTTTTTGGCTTTTTGTTTTGATTTTGCTAAAAATTTTCCCTGCAAAGTATTATTTTGGGTTAAACAAAGAATTTTTACAGTCTGAGGAAAATTCTTCTAAATAATATCAATTTCAGAGTTATAATCTGGGCTCTATGCCAAAAGTCATTATCTAACATAAGCATTATACAGGATTCACTTATATATAAGAAGCAGAACAAGATGCATAGGCAATACCAAAGACAGGAGAAACAATTTCATTACTGTCTTTGCACTGCAGATAACTGATAATATCACTATAATATCTAAAAGACCAAAGATTGTCTCAAAAAAGAATGCTATGAGTGTCCTTGCTTTTCAAAATCAAGTTTCCAATGCAAAAGCTTTGTAGGATGTTCTGGCTAAATGTACCCTAAGACTTCCACACCTGAAACTGCAGCAGGAAGACAGACAGTGCTAATGAACTCTTTCTGTCACAAGCTTCTGTCTTTGAAATTCATCTGCAGATAACAGATTCTAAAATACCTTCTGCTCCCGGATCCTGGTGGCTCACACCTTTAATCCCAGCACTTGGGAGGCAATGGCAGGAGGATCTCTGTGAGTTCAAGGCCAGCCTGGTCTACAGAGTGAGTTCCAGAACAGCCAGGGCTATACAGTGAAATCCTGTCTCAAAACAACAACAACAAAAAACAAAAACAAAACAGAAATACCTTCTGCAACAACTCATTTCTAGAAACAGACATCATGGTCTTCAACATGTCATCCACAGCACCCAGGGAGCTCTCCAAGGCTGATAAAGATTCATGAATTTCTACAGGATAGTCTTCATTCATTTCTTCACCTGCCATTTCAATCAACTGGAAAAAAAAAAAATTCTCAGAATTCATATTTGAGACAGAGCTTTAGAAAGAAAATGGAAAGTATATTTACTTTTGGGTAAGGTTAGTAAGTGAATCTTACCGGACAGTTGTGGTGCACACCTTTAGTCTCAGCGCTTGGGAGGCAGAGGCAGGTGGATCTCTGTGAGTTCGAGGCCAGTCTGGTCTACAAAACGAGTTCCAGGACAGGCTCCAAAGCTATACAAAGAAACCCTATCTGGGGGAAAAAGAAAAAAAAGTAAAGAAAAAACAAGTGAATTTTAGCACGAAATCCTAGAACAGCCACCTTCCAGCATCTCTTCTAAAATGCACTTCCTTCCTAGGAAAGGGGAAAGAATCTGTCCAAGCCACACATCAAAAGCTCCTAATACCACATATCAATAAGCAAAACTTGTGTTCATCCAGATTCAGTGGCACATGCACTTGAGAAGCAGAGGTTATGGATTAGGAGATGCAGGACACTCTCAGCTACAGGTAAGTTCTAAGTTCAAGGTCAGCCTCCACTACATGAAACTCCATCTCAGAAATAAATGAGAAAAACAACTACATTTTTGGAAAAGCATTCTATTGAAGACAATTAAAAAAAAACTGATTAAGTCTGATAAACAAATCCTCTAATGTATGCTGAAAAAAAAAAATCAACAAAGTGAGTTTTTCTGAAACTTTTAGATATTATTTAGATTTTTAGAACTTAGTGTGACATTTTGACAGTTCATTGTATTAAACTTAAGAAACAAATCCTAGATATGAAGAGTCTTTATCCACTATCACTTCTCAAGTTCATGTGTGTATTTATAGTCCTTAAGCATCTTAACAGCTGAATGCCGAGATTTCAGTACTGCCCACTTGAACACTGATCTGTTACCTTGGGAGGAAAAAAAAAATCACTAAATCTCTCTGGGCTTCAAATTTTTCACTCATAAAATAATTGGTCTAATTATCTGTAGAGTTCATTATCATAAAATTATGGTAGTTTTCCTGTATGTGAAATGATATTATAGATGTATAATGTCTGTCATTTAAGGATATATACTGAAGTACACAGTGATAAAAATCATGAATTTGCTTTTTACAGAGTAGCCTTCATAAACTAAAGAGAAAAGAACAGTTAGACAGCAGTTAAGTCCCATATTGAGTCTTTGAATAGACTCAGTTCATGAACTGGAGGAAAAGGAAGTGTAACCTAGAAGGTTTACACAGCTATTGCAGGAGAGAAGGAAAGGGTAGGAGGTGCTCACCACACAGCTGCACAACAACATCCATAAATCTAACACTGACAACAAAGGCTGACATTTCAGATCATTTGATTACGTTACAGAATGTCTTTAAGACACTCTAATTTCAGTGGGCAGAGCGGGGTAGCTGCTTGGGAATTGCACAAAGGGCCCTAAGAATGCTAAGTATACACCCCACCTCTAAGCTACACCTCCAACCTCAAAATATCACAATTCCTTCTATGTTTATCTAACTCTTTAAAACATATCTATGTGAAAACACATAGATCAGGTCTAAATTCAAATAAAACACTAAGGCAATATACCTGCAGCACAAAGGGAAACAAAGCGTCTGCAAATCAATTTAACAAACAAGCAGAAAGTACACACAACCCCAAAGAAAGAAGACAAAGAAGCCAGCGGCTCACAAAGGAAGCCAGATGACTATTAAACAAAGGAAACTGTTCAGCTTCACCAAGGAAACAAGAACAAGATGCCACTTTTCATGTGCCAAACCACATGTAATGTACGCAAAGGTGGCCCCAAACAGGTCCTTTTCAGCATTAGCAGTTTGATTTAATTAAGCATCTTTTGGATTTGATGCTCCATTTCAAAATCATATGTTTATGTTCTTTGGCCCAGTAAATTTACTTCTCAGAAACGTACATTTAATTGAAATAGCAAAACCTAAGAAGTTTAAGAAACCCTACCTTTAAGAGATAAGACCTGACTGGCAGTTTTGTGGCCATAGTTGGGGGTGGAGTTCAGGATGATTGGGGACTTTGGTGGCTTTTTCTCCCCCTTTACCTTGGCCTCTCCCTGTCACACACAAGAGCAGCAAGGAAAACTAGCCATGGTCTGAAACCTCCAAAACTATGATCCCAATAAGCCTTTCTTCTTTTTAAGTTTATTTCACATTTCTGTAGCAGCAACAGAAAACTAAGATACTTACACATACATGTAAGCTTTTTAAAACATACAAAATAAACTATTAACTGTAGCTCCTTCCAGGAAAGGTAAGGCAGCGGAAGTGAGGCAGCATACCTTATTACATCCTCTGAACTATGACTGTCAGAGATTTGTGTAATGTGTTATAACAAATTTACAAATGAGTTTCACATGTTTGACATTCTGAAATTGATTGGAGATGACAGATGCTACTTAGCGGCCATAGTCAAAACTTAGATTCTTTAGCCCCACTACATCCAAAGAACCAAAATGTCTTTCTTTTCCCTAGAGATGAATTTTCTAGTCAACATAAAGGTATATTCTTTCTCGATCTCATTGCCTCTTCCAGCTTGGCTTCCTGAAATGTCACCTCCCACCAGTTATCTCAAAGGTGCCTCCACAAACCTAACTTCCCTTGGTACCCACTACTAGCCAATTCTCAACCATTTACAGAGCACTCCCCACACAAGTATCCAGCACTGACAACACATCACCCTGATGCCTGGAACACACCAATGAGCGGAAACCTGCTACACTGAACTTTTGTGCTTAATGCAGATATGCCTTCATCAGCTAATCACAGAAATACAAATCACAATGACATGGGGAGATATAGGGTACCCTGACACTATGAACTAGCAGACATAACAAGGCCCGAGGAAAGAAAACCCATCTTCAAGAAAGCACTCTTCAGAGGAGTGAAGAAGACAAAAACAGCACAGGGACATGAGGGAAAGGGGAACACGGCAACACGGCAACACCTTAACTAGCTTCTGATACTCAGCCTCACTGAGCCCGCAATGGCTCCTTATCCTTTCGGGACAAAACCCACTTTTACACAACATGAAAGCAATTTCAAAGTCTGGCCCTCTCATCCCCCAATCTTAATTCCTATCTTTCCCTCACATTAACACCACATGCAGCCTCTGCTTCTATCCTTAATCTACATGAGTAAATGCCTGGAGTTCTGTCAAAGACAGAATCAGCTGTGGGTACCAGGAAAAAAGAAGACTTGCTAAAGAACCCTTCCAACAACTGGCTGGGTCAGGGTAGGCAGTCTGAGGAGTTGGGACTGGAGTGGGGGTGAATATTATTAAAATACATTGTATGCATGTGTGAAATTCTCAAAGAACTAATATATTTAAAATACAGCTGACTGGGAGGTGTCTGAGGGAAAGAAGAGAGGAGATCAGCAAGTAAAACAATGGAAGTTCTCTGCAGGTTTGTGTTTTAACAGGGCCATTCTTGCTGCTGTACAGGACAGATGAAATCTAGGAGACTAATTATGGAGGTGTTGTATTAGTTCAGATGAAATGACAGCATCAGCTATCTACTCAACTAGGCAGAAGGAACTGAAGTTGGAGAATAGCAGTTCAGTTTGGGCTGGATTTTGTAGGCAAAGGTAGCAGAATCCACTTATGGGCTAATCATGGGGTGTGTGAATAAGGAAACAAGAGTAGAGCTGTTACTACCCAAGACATGAACTGACATGATGGTGCACACTTACAATTCCAGCTCTTGGCGATCTGAGGCAAAAGGATCGATCCTGAGTTTAATGCCAGCTAGGCTATATAGTGAAGCCCTGTTATAAACAAACAAGCAAACAAACACACACAAAATCTCCCCCAAAACAAGATGGGCAGGCTTGTGGGAGTGGAAGAGTGTTCAGATGTTTGCTCAGAGTCATCAAATCGAAGTGCAGAGTGGGAAGCGTAAGTACAAGAAGTCTAGAGTTCAAGGAGTAAAAAATTGGAAATTATCAATAAACAGATGGTATTTAAAGTCATAAGATGGGAACCAGTCATTACAGGAATAAATGAAGACATAAAAAAAGAAGCTGGCAGGCAGGTGTTGGTGGAGCACAACTTTGATCCCAGCACTAGGGAGGCAAAGGCAGCCGGATCTCTGTGAGTTTGAGGCCAGCCCGGTCTACAGAATGAGTTCCAGGACACTCCCTGTCTCGAAAAACGAAGGAGGAGGAGGAAGAAAAGAGGAAGAGGAAGAGGAGGAGAAAGAGAAGAAGGAGAAGAAGTAGTAGTTGGCACAAGGCAAGAGTCCTGAGGCACTACATATTGTGTAATTTACCCCCAAGACCACAAGAGTCATTTGAATCTATACTGATACTGCTCATCATGAGCACCAAAACACATTCACTAGCCCAGAAAAGTGTACAGCTTCTACACACACACACACACACACACACACACACACACACACACGAACGACAGTTAACTGGGACCCAAGTCTGGAGAATCTTACTTAATATGTCACATTTGGAACTTACAGATATTAATAGTTACTACATCAAGCCAGGAGAAAAATATATGGTAACTAATATTCGGGAGCTATTTCCATCTCTAGCAATTAAGAGTTCCACACAGTTAGCACAGTAGTGAGAGAAAGAAAATCCGACATATACTTAATTGCTTTTTGAACAAGAGAGCAATGTGAAGATTTGGCACCATAATTCTATTCCTATAATTATGTTTTCTACTGCATTATCTTAGAAAATAATGGTGTAATGTATATGTAAGTTCTCAATAAATACTACTGTCTTGGTCGAACAGTCATTTTATTACTGTTGCCTGAAACTTTCAGTAAAATCTGAGAATATATAAGGCTTCCTTTTCAAAAGTGTATTAACCTCTAAATACACATCACAGCAGTTAGAGAAATGGCTAAGTAGATAAAGCACCTGCCCCCACCCTAAACTTGAGAACTAGAACTCACATCTCCTGTACCCTCATAAAATATAGGGCAAGTATGGAAGGGGCCCAACACTCAGAAGGCAGAAACAGGGAATCACCAGCAGCCTAGGTAGACTGGCTAAAGTTAGTGAGTCTCAGGTTCAATGAGAAACAATATGGAGCGCCACTCAATAAACAAAGTGGAGAATGATGGAGGAAGACGTCATCTTTGACCTCCACATACAAACACATGCACATGCACTTGTATATGAGAAAACACACACAAAAAAAGAAAGTCCAAAAGTCCAGTAATAAAAGTACATAAATGACAAGGCTAGAGACGATGGCTCAGCAGTTAACAGCACTTTATCTTCCAGAGAACCCAAGTCCGGTTTCAAGCAGCCAGATTAGGAAGCTCACAACCCCCTGTAACTCCAGCTCCATGGGATCTAACCTTTTTTACTGGTCTCTGCTGGCACCCACATACATGTGGCATACATACAGAAAGAGGCATGAGCACATACACATAAAGAGAAATAGTTTAAATATATATATTACAAGGGGTCACATTGGAATCAACTTCTATTCAATGCTTACTTCAACGAGTTTTCAAAATTAAGAGTTAGGAAGCCACAAGGACTACTTTCTTCAAAGCATGGGACTTGTTGATTGCAATTACCGCTAAAGAAGTGATGATAATAAGGATATGATGGAGGTTAAGTAAATAATATCAGCATAACTCTTCAAGCTGTACTCTATTAGTAGAACACTCAAAACATTAGCTAATAATTTAGTTATTGTTTAGTGAACATGAAAATAACCGGAAGTCTAACCTATGCATAATATTTAAAGCCACATACAAAGGGTTAAATGCTTGGAAACAATAGCTGCTATTACTGACATAGCAGTTTAAAAATTTATTTAAAAAAATGAGAAAATTGTGTCGCTATAGGTAGTAGAAAACATCTATAACATCTCTGATTCGAAGAATTTCTATTAGTTTTTAAAAAAAAGAGAACCATTCGCATTGTCATCTTATCTGATAACAAAACAATACGGCCTGTCAATTTCACCAACCACGAGTAGTTTTCTAAAGTTTAATAAGGCTTGGCTGTTATTTATAAATAAAAAGTATATGGTTGATATTTAGTTCAGTGTACACTTAGCCTAAACTGTTAATGACTAGACCACAAACATCTCACCAGGGCAAATACACATTTTCCAAGCCAAAATAGTGCTCATCAAATTTTAAGTCATTAAACCTATCTTCTAACAGAAATTTGAGTCGTACTGAAGTTTTCCCAGATCATAAAGAAAAATTAATTTATTGGCATTATCAGGGAGACAACAGCAGGGAGTCTTGGCCGGCATGGTGGCGCATGCTTAATCCTAGCACTTGGGAGGCACAGAGAGGCGGGCCTCTGAGTTCGAGGCCAGCCTGGTCAACAAAGAGAATTCCAGGACACCCAGAGCTACACAGAAACCCACTCTCGGAAAATAAATAAATAAAATAAAATAAAGGACGCCGTTATCTCAAGTGAGCTAACACTGCCACCGCAAGCACTCCGATCTTGGGCACAACAGTAAGGACTGCATGAAAAAAAAATTACTCTTTCCACCTTCCATCTTGGCCTTAATCCGTTTAGATTTGAAATCAGCCAGACACAGATGGCGTTAGGCTTTCACTCGTCGCTTTTCAACCTTTGAAAAGCAACATTAAAAATCGAAGCAAAAATGACAGAGAGAGAAACCAGGGGGGAGCAAGGCAGAGCCTGAGAGCCGCCACTGACAGGCCAAGGGGACCGCCGGGACCAGCTAGCGGCACCGGGCCCCGCTGGCTACCCCTAGTCGGGCACTGGATGGACGCGATCCCGGGACGCGGGAAAGGGACCGCGACAGGAGCACGACAATCACCCGGACCCAGCTTTGCACTGTACCTCAGCACCGCGGACACCCGTATCCAGGACAGACGTCGCACGGTGATGACGACACGACACGCCTCCGCCTGCCACGCGTACGTCGCTCTGGGTCCCGCGCGTGCGTAGTTGGGTCCCGTGGCTCGTCCGGCTGCTCGCCCGCTGCTGTCCCATCCTAATGGTAAAGGCTGAGGTTCTTAGAGCCTCGGCCCGGTGGGGAGCGAGGAAGGACCCCTGGCGTCTTGTTTAGATTAGGCTCCTGCCCTCATCCACACGCAAGTTGAGTGTTCCCTACAGCTTTGTTCAGGTCTTTCCCTTGACAGAAACTGGGTCCAGAGCTCAGGTTCAGCTTTTGAAGGGTTCCCCTAGACAAGGGCCTGCTGCACCTCTGCCAGCCGCCAGGCCAAGGGTTGCTTATGAAAGTACAGTAAAACAAATTTTAAGTGGGGGTGTAACATATGCAAAGTTTTACTACTTTATTTCTGTTTTGAACCGGTCTCAGATAATGTGCGCCCCTCTCCTCACCCCCACCCCACTCCCCAATACGTCAGTGTGCTATGCTGGATACTTGACACAAGCTAAAGTGATCTAAGAGGAGAGAACTTCGATTTAAAATATGCCTCCAGTGTGGTGGTGCACGCTTTTAATCCCAGCACTGGGGAAGAGGCAGGCAGCTCTTTATGAGTTCTGATTTACAGAGTATGTTCCAGGACAGCCAGAGCTGTTACACAGAGAAGAGAAACCCTATCTCAAAGACCACAACCCTGCTGAGTCATCTCTTGTTCCTCTCAGTTTAAACATTCATCTAAGATAAAACACCTAATACTCTGTTTTCAAAATTGATTATTAATATCCAGACAGATCTAGACAGTTGTCAGTTCCAACAATTTATCCTTTAACACTACCTTTTAAAGTTACTGATTTTCTTTTAATCACCACTAAGTTACTTGGGTTTTTTTTTTTTTTTTTTTGGTTTGTTTTTGTTTGTTTTTGTTTTGTTTTGTTTTTTTCCAGACAGGATTTCTCTGTGTAGCGCTAGCTGTCTTGGAACTCACACTATAGACCAGTCTGGTCTTGAACGCAGAGATATGCCTGCATGTCTCCTAAGTGCTGTGATCAAGTATGTGCTAATACTACCTGACTAATTACAGATTTTACACGTTGCTGGGGTCAGTTTCCTGCCATGAAATTATCTCAGACTATTATTAGAAAAAGCTATGTCATTTTTGTAAAGCCTTTCTATTTTTGTTAAACTTGTAATCTGAGTACAGTAATTTGGCTTTGTGGTGGTTTAAAAAAGCAATAGCGTAGGCTAATATACCAAGGAGTAGCACCATTTCAAAGGATTAAAATTAGGAGGTATGGCCTTGTTGGAGAAAGTGTGTTAATAGAGGTAGGCTCCGAGGTTTCAAAAGCCCATGCCAAGCCCAAAGTCTCGTCTCAGTCAGTCTCAGTCAGTCTCAGTCAGTCTCTTCTCTCTCTCTCTCTCTCTCTCTCTCTCTCTCTCTCTCTCTCTTTCCCATGTCTGTCTAAAAACTGTAAGCAAGTCCCCAATTAAATGCTTATAAAGTAAGAGTTGCCTTGGTTATGTCTCTTCACAGCAATAGAACAGTGCCTACGACAGACTTCCAGAACTAAAGTAATTTGTTTTCTGGATTCTGAGCCACACACACGCATTGCTCCTCAAATCAAGGGCAATAGGGCAATCACAGGGAATGCTTACCATTCATCTGCCAGCCCTTTACTCACCACTCCCTCCTCGCCCCTAACAATGCTGGAAAGAGAAACTTCTCACCCACTTCCTTCCTGTCCTATAACTATTCCTATAACTTGTAAGTGAACAGCAAGCTCAGGTTGCTACACAAACCTCCTATGCAGGTTTTCCCCATGTTTCCTCCTTGCTGACATTACAATTAAAGAATTGCACTGCATACGACTGATACATAATTCATACAACAGGAGACTGACCACATGAGTTCAATGTCCAAACTAATATATAGCCTGTTGATGTCGCGCCACCAGTGTTGTAGCACATGAGAAACTGGAGTGAAAGTTTCTAAATTCCATTCCCAATGTCTAGAACACCAGTAAGATCAACAATTAATAAATGGGAACTCATGAAACTGAACGGCTTCTGCACAAGAAAAGACACTGTCATTCTGACAAAGCAGCAGCCTACAGAATAGGAAAAGATTTTCACCAACTACACACCTGATAGAGGGCTAATATTTAAAAACTAGATGTCAAGAAAACAAGTAACCCAATTAAAACATTAGGTACAGGTCTAAAACAGAATTCCCAAAGGAAGAACCTGAAATGGCTGAGAAACACTTAAATGTTCAACATCCTTAGCCATTGGGATTCAAAACAGAACTACTCTGAGATTTCCTCTTATAGCTGTCAGAATGGCTAAGATCAATGAAACATGTGACAATGCATGCTGGCAAGGATGTGGAGTAAGGGGAACACTCATCCATGCTGGTGGGAGTGCAAACCTGTGTCAAGTTCCTCAGGAAGATGAGATTTGATCTACCTCAAGATTCAGCTATGCCATGTGTATTAGTTAGGGTTTCTCTATAGTAATGACATTTATGGAGTAAATATATGTATATATGCATATATGTGGTTATATGATTGTTACAGGCTATGGTCCAGCTAATCCAACAATGTTTGCCTATGAATGAAATATGCAAGAATCAATTGTTGTTCAGTCCAGGAGGCTGGATGTCTCACCTGGCTGTCACTATACACTAGGATCTCAAAGCAGTGGGCTCTAATGCCAGTAGGCTAGCCACTGAAGGCAAGAACAAGCAAAGAAGAAATTTTCTTCTTCCATGCCCTTATATAGGCTCTAGCTTGAATTCTAATTGGTCTTAATAATAAAAATCCAGAATCAGATACAAGGATTAATGCTGAAAGAACAGAAGAGAGTATCCAGCCATTAGTTCTTACCTCTACTGAATCCTCAGACCAGAAGGGTGATCTTATCCCTATGAATCCTCAGACTGAATGCCTGACCCTGTCTCCAAGAATCAGACTGAATGCAATGAGCTCCTGTCTCCTCCTGCCTTATATTCCTCTTTCAGCCCAGCCATATCACTTGTTTCCACCTCCCCGGTGCTTGGATTAAAGGCTTGTGACTCCCAAGTACTGGGATCAAAGATGTGAGCCACCACTGCCTCCATTTGTTTCTCTTTTAGACTGGATCGATCTCATGTACCCTTGGGTGGCCTTGAACTCAAAGACATCTGCCTGCCTCTAGCTCTCTAGTGCTGGGAATAAAGGTGTGTGCCACCACTGCCTGGACTCTATAACTAACTAGTTGCTAGCTCCCTACTCTGATCTTCAGGCAAGCTTTATTTGTTAAAGCACTCACAAAGTATTAAGATAATAGGCTGCCAGCAGAAGGTGTGGTCCAGATTAAAGGTGTATCTTACCACTTCAAAAGATCTGGATTAAAGGTTTAATTCCCAGTCTTAAAAGGTCCCCAATTATAAATGGGCCTTCCCATTTCAAATGATTTAATTAAGAAAAAAAACCTAGATGGGTGTGGTGGCACATGCCTTTAATCCCAGCACTTGGGAGACACAGGCAGGCAGATCCCTTAGTTTGAGGCCATCCTGCAGAATGAGTTCAGGACAGCCAAAGCTACACAGAGAAACCCTGTCTTGAGAAGAAAAGAGAAGAGAAGAATGTGGTATATTTGCATAATGGATTATTACTCAGCAGTTAAAAATGAAACCATGAAATTTGCAGATAAATGGTACTAGAGAAAAATTATCCTGAATGATGTATCCCAGACCCAGAAAGATAAACATGGTATGTATCCCCTTATGTATGGACATCGGCTGTAAAGTCAAGGGTAACCAAGCTACAATCCACAGAATCACAGAAGGTAGGTAAACAGTATGGGACTAAGAAGGACAGATAGGTCTTGTTAGGAAAGGGAAATAAAATAGATAGTTATGGATGGGGGTTGGGGTTGGGGGTTGGAATGGGAGCATCGAGTGGGGGGGGGTGAGATGGGAAGGAATGAAGGGATACAAGGAGAGATGGCCAAAATGAAGGGCCATTAGAGGGGTATTGTGGAAACTTAATACAGTGAAAGCTTCCTAAAACATATACATATATTGTAAGACCCTAATTTCGGGGTCCTGATGGGCCGATGGCCCGATGGGAGAGCCCTGCGACACAAACACCAAAACCAGGAGCTGCAACAAGTAAGAGGTGTTTATTGAATGAATGCACACTCAGGTGTCAGCAATATTGGGGAAAGCCACACACCCCTCAAAGGGTTCAGGCTCTTTTTATAGAGAATAACCACAAATCAGCATACATGCATGGGGCACAAGGTGATTGATTACAAAGCATGATCTCATGTTTGAGAGATCACCCAGGTGTGACCTATTTTTCTTCAAAGGAAAAAGGAAAACCACAGAATGTACCTTGGAAAGTCCCAAGACTGTCCGTTGGTCAGGTGTGACTCAGACAGGGCTGCTCATCTGGAACCATTTGTTCCAGGGTGGGGGCCTATTTTCTTGTTGTGGGCCAAGACCTGTGAGAAACTTCTTATCCCTTTTTTTTTTTTTCTTTGCAAACTAAAGTCTTTCATACTCTGGCTTTCTCTTGGCTGTACATTTAGACCCTTCAGTTATTCCACAAAGGTTTGATGATTCAGTAACTGGCCCTATTTAACAAAATCAACCTAGCATTAACCATTAACCCCATCACCATAGAAACCTTTCTTGGTTTCATAATTCCTGATCTTTCCACCCATGTCAACATTCATTCTTTGTGATTTTCTATATTCTGCTTACAAGAACTATTCTTCTTACCTCCCCTGCCCCTTTCCTGCATCCTTGCTCTGCAAACTAAAGTCTTTCCAAAAGGAATCCCATGGGAATCCCTAAGCAACCCAGGATGTTTTCAAGACTATAGCCTGCTCTCCACAAACTGATGCCAAGGCCCCATTGCTGAAAATGACACTTACATAACTCACTGAACATGAAGAAGTCAAACTGGTGCCTATGTAGAGCCTTCATC